AAAAATTGACCCTTATGACTGGTTTTGTGGTCCAGGGTCACATATGTGATATTTGAAAAAAATCTGGAATCTGAGGGTGCAAAAAAATCAAAATATTGAGAAAATCGCCTTTAAAGTTGTCCAAATGAAGTTCTTAGCAATGCATATTACTAATCAAAAATTACGTTTTAATATATTTACAGTAGGAAATGTACAAAATATCTTCATGGAACATGATCTTTACTTAATATCCTAATGATTTTTGGCATAAAAGAAAAATCAATAATTTTGACCCATACAATGTATTTTTGGCTATTGCTACAAATATACCCCAGCGACTTAAGACTGCTTTTGTGGTCCAGGGTCACATATGATTATAAAAAATTATATATATATATGTTATTTACTTTGAATATTTTTTTTTGCATTGCTTACATGTACCTCTGTGTGTTCCCTCAGTACGTGAAGCTGATGAACTTCGAGGAGGAAGTGCGAGCTCACAGGGATCTGGATGGATTTCTGGAGAGGGCCAGTATTCTGCTGCATGAGGACGAGGCCTCTCTAGACGATGTGTTAAAGACCATGCTCCGCCACGTCTCACAGGACCCTCACACCGCTGAGCCCAGCTGCAACTTCGAGGAGATCATGAGCTCCCTCTTCACAGATGCAGGGTCACAGGAAGTCAATGGTGAGTGTGTTTGTTTCTATTTGTGTGTTATTTCATGAAAAGCTTATGAAAGGTTGCTCAGAGCTGATTTGACTGACACCTCAAAGGATATAAGCACAGCAGTTTGACGTTAGTCAATGTTATTTTAATTTAAAATGCTTTATAAATTATAATACAAATTTTACATTAAAAAGGGACAGAAGTATGAATAACAGAGGGAATTGTGCAGAGACAGACAGTAAAAAGAGTTTCAGCAATAATTAAGTCCATTTTCATCCCTGCTGACCCCAAAGGTTTGAAACTCAGTCTAGGATATGTCAGAGAGAGGACTTGCTTTGAATGACCCCATAAAGGGAAGTCAGGTGATAATAACACTCTTCTGTCCAGTCATTTACACATTAGACTCACTGGAATTGTCAAACCTTCCCAGAGGACACACAACCCTTTATGACAGTGATGAAGTCAAAGAAAATATAGACGAATCACAAAAGTTAAGCTGAGAGCTGAAATACCTTCAAGGCAGGAGCAGCTGAAAGGAAATGTATAATTGTGTATAAAATGTATATTTCAAGATTGAGTACATAAGATATTTGAGTTAATAGTTAAGATACACTAGTATCTTAAGAACTTTACTAGTTGGAATACACTACATGACTTCTGTACAGGTTTTTGGTGCTGTTTGCAGTTTGCAGAAAGTCGGCAGATTTTGGTCAGTCAGAGTTGACAGATTTAACAGAAAATCACATAGTGTATGATGGGCACAGACTCAGATTTTGTAGCTTCAGATTGAGAGTTCATCCAGTCGGAGAATGTTAAACATGTTTAATATTTTGAGTCGATTCTAGCAAGGAAGTGCATGTTTTTGCATGAATTTGTTGTGTTCGAGTTTTCAATAACTTGAAAAGTCTGATATTGTGTGATCTTCAGTCATTTAGTGTATGATGCCCAGTTTTTCCTCTGTAACCATTTACAAAGTCGGCAAGTGTATGATGCCTAGATTTTTCAAATCTTTTCAGATTTCAGAACTCGTGCAGTGTATTCCAGACCTTACACAAATGTTTATTTTTTTGTGTGTGTAAAATTTGTGCTTACATTTTTTTAAATGTATTTTTTAATTTAATGAATTATTTTTTATTTAATAAAATATTTAATTTTAATGTATTTACATTGACTAAATTGTTATGAAGCAAGAAAATGTCTTTTAAAGACTGACCAGCATGTTCAAATGTGAGGCTAGTAGTGCACATACATAGTGGTTGCTGTTGGTTTTTGCACATTACTGCAGCTATCATTAGATCTACTCTACTGGGTCATTTTATTCACTGGCCCCTGGACACCCAGCATTTTCTAAAAATGGCCCCAAAGCTTCGTAATTCAAGTATCCCTGCTTTATGAGCTCAGCTGGTCTCTGTAACACTAACTCCTTCTCTCTCAGGAAGACTGACAGATTCTTCCAAACACAAGAAATCTCTGGCATACTCTCAGCTAGAGGTGATGCTGCACCACCAGAGATTTTGGAAAACTGAATGCCTCATCTCCTAATTTATACATGTTTGAAGTCCTAATATTTACAGTCAGCATTGAAATTAAGCACCTAATTAGGACTCCCTGCCAAAAACACTTACGAGAGACAAGGGTAAAAGAAACCTTTTTATTGAGATACACAGGCCTATTATACTGTATGTTGTGATTGAACATATCTGTCTCTCAACCCTGATATTTCTCACCACTCGACGCTCAGATATGATTTCTTGAATCAAAATGTACTATAATAAATGAAATATTCATGACAACACAACGTATATAATCACACAGCATTGTAAATCTATCAAGCCGCATGAATGTGTCATTTCCTTCTGAGATTTTCACAAGCTGGCAGCACGCTTTTTCTGGATTGTATTGATCGTTTCCGGCTCACCAGTAATCTCTGCGTTCTTTTCATCGTTGCCAAATTCACACTGAATACACACAGAATATCATTGGCTATCCTGGGCACCAATTAAGCCCAGTCCTGGACTTTACTGTACCGTCACTCCAGTTCGGTCTAACACGGCACCTATTGTGTGCCCGGACTCTGTCAGATTGTGTGAATGGTGAGATGTGAATTATCGTTAGTTGATTTTGTTTTTTTTGTTTTTTTCAAGTCTAGGGATGATACATTCCCTCTTGTCTCTGTTGCTAGGATACATAGCTCACATGTGAGCAAGAATAATATTAATGATATGAGCCTGGGAACATGCAAATGAGCTGATGTGTGATTGGATTAGGAAATGTGAATGTCATGAATATGATAATGTATGATCATTTGGTTGAGAATCCATGAATGGGATCTAATTGTGAGTGCACTGATTGTATGTGCGCGCGGCAGGTCTTTAACACACAGACACACGCACACTCTTGCACACACAACTCAAAGTCTATCAGTATGAAGATCAAATTAGAATGAAATGGGAATAAAGATCTCATTCAGCCAAGATGCAAGCACAATGAAAGATGGAGAAAAATCATATTTCATCTGAGTAAAGAGACCTGAGCATCTGCCTGACAACCCAGCCCCAATTAATGAGAGAGGGAGGTTCGGTGTGTCTGTGTGGGTGGTGGGTTATCTGAATTTGTGTCTGAGAGATGTTTCACTCTTTCTGCTTGCTTTTAGGGTTCACAACATGTTTTTCTGTGCTCAACCTAACTTTAACTCTTTCCTTTCCAAGCTGAACTCAGTTTCAGTGTGTGTGTGTGCATGTGTGCGTCTGTGTGTCTCCAATTCTCTTGCACAGACAGGTCGCAAAATTTTGTTTTCTATGACAACGGTAAGAACGATATGATCAGACGTGGGATATTACCCACAATTCATGCGTTTTCTCCCCGTGTGCCGATGTTTCCAGTTGATGTGATTGACATGAACCATTAGTCCAACAGACACACGAGTCTCTGTTTTCTTATTCAGATCCACACAATCCAATTTGAAATCAGTATCCACACATCTGAAATGACAAGATTTGGTGTTGTTTTAAAAGAGTCGGTGGTGAATGCTGAGTGATTCCCTTCCCTGTGATGGTGGTGCTTTAGATTGGGCTGTACCATTGCCTCTCTCTCTCTCTCTCTCTCTCTCTCTCTCTCTCTCTCATTCCTGCCTCATTGCCGTTCGGCTGATTGGCTGTGCATGGATTCCACTGTTGTGATTGAAAAAGCCCACTGTCATTCTGATGTCTTTTTCTGCTTAATATTTATGCAACACACACACACACAAGGAGTGAAAAGACTTTTTAATATCTTGAGGAAAAGTCTTTAGTGTGTGTGAATAAAAGCATCTCATTCCATCCTGATGTCCAGGCCTCTGGCAGTTATCAGAAGGGGTGAGGTGCGGTTGGCCTAGATGATTGCCTGAATGTGTGTGTATATTAGGGCTGGACGATATAGCTGTAAACATTATATCTGGGTATTTTTCAGCTTTTTGACAATATGCAGTATACATATCTATACTTTTTTCAAATAGCTAAAAACTATTTGAAAATAACCAAGATATATTTTCCATAGGGTTACTAACTGAATCATCCAAAAATAATGATATTTAATTATTCTTATTTGTATGATTCATTATAACAATGTATACCTAATTTTTGAAAGTATATTATATGTAATCATAATCATAATAAATATAGTTTAAAATTTAAATCACAATGAGATAAAGATTAAATTAAGTAATCTAATCTAATAATATAATATAATATAATATAATATTTTTTTTACTAAACATTTTAAGCAAGTAAAATGCCACACAGGGACATCTGTTAACATTTTTCACAAATTGTTGACAGTGTTATATTAGTATCATTGAGACTATTATAGTTATACAATTATACTATTATTTAACTATTATAGTGGGTTCTTTTATATGTCTATATAGTTAATTTTTATTTCAGTTTTAGTACATCATCAATTATTTTAGTACATCAAGTGAAATAAATAATTATTTTATATTTTGTCATTTAAAGTTTATTTTATTTCAAGTTTAATTTTTATGGTTTTAGTTAACTCTAATAACCCTGATTGTTGAAACAGAGTTTAAACTGCCATTTTGAACTGATTAAAGGAAATGAATCACACTTCCCAGTTCTAGCTGCTTTTTTGCTACAGAGGTTTGAATCAGAGACAGTATCAAAATATCTTATCAAACTACTCACATATGAACATACAAGTTGTGACACAATGTGCAAGTATGAAACTGGCCTGTTGGCATATTCTTACAAACGTAATGGCCAGAAAACTTTTAAACATCCCAAAATTTGTTCTGTTTTTATCAGCAACAATATAATATAAAGTATAATATACAGTCTTGTAAATATTCATCCAGCTTTAGTGTTTGTGAAGGTGTGCATGTTTGCCTTAGTGTACATGCTTTTATGGACCTGCTCAACATGCATCATTGTACTTTTGATTTTCAAAAGTATTGTGGAAAGAGATGGTCTGGTTTTTCCTTCACGAACACACCAAGTACACAATTATCTCAGCTGTTTGTCCTCCTGCCAATTCAACGGTCTTCATATTGCCCTGTATTGCTCCATTGATACATTTCCCTCTCTTTTCCCCTCCTTCTCATTCTTTCTCTCTTCCTGTTTATTTCTCGATGGTGCTGAGTGTGTTGTCATGGTGATACCCATCTGTCCATGGTGTGAGTGTGTGATGTCTTATTGATGAGACAGTTTGACTATGTGCCAGAGACATCCATCCTGCCTGCTAAACAGCACACACACACACACACATTCACAAACACATATTGTTTTTGCTGGTCATACTGAACAACTCACACCTGTCACCTTTGCCGGACAGAGGACGTATACACACACTTACAAACACACATACATGCTTTGATACTGCTTGTGGTTAATATGCTGGACAGCTCACACCTACACAAGACAGAGGGCAGGGAGCGCACACACACACACACACACACTGATTGATTAATTTAAATTAAACATTTGGTGGTGTTCTTGGAAAGGTCTTCATTGTCACTCATGCTGGCTGCAGTGATGTGTATTGTCCTCTGGTGAGCTTCTGCTTCTGTTCTACCTTGATATGCATTAGCCTTTTCATGGAGATGAGTGGACTTTGATTTAATTACCGGCCCTTCCATCAATTCACATCCTCTTGTTTGTTTTTTGTGTGTGTCACCATGTACAGTGAAAGTCAGTCGACTTAATCTTGGTGTCAAACTCATGAGTAGTCTCACTTCTGTTCTTCATACTCAATTCGCACTTGATGTGCAGTACTTTTGAAGTGGCATCCAGATTGTAGTTAACTTGAATTGATTGTTTAGTTTCTTTCTTCATGCATGGTCATCCATTGTCTGTATTGCATGGCCGCTCACGACTGACCCCTTGCCTTCTCTCCTCACAGTGCATCTATTGTCAGAGACGCTGCAGTGTGTGACGGCCACAGCCACAGGCATCCAGTACCAGCAGTCCTGGCTTTGCATCCTGTGAGTTACCTGGATCTGTCTTACCTGTAATGCTGATCCATCAGAGGTTCTAGAGCAGGGGTGTCTGAAGAAATCCCATGAGCTAGTAAAATATTAACTAGGACTGCCAATTTAACTTTGTGTATTTAATGAAAAAATATACAATACAGTTCAAAAGCCTGGGGTCAGTAAGATTTTTTTTTAAAGAAATTGATTTGTATTCAGCAAGGATTCAATTCAATTCAATTCAAGTTTATTTGTACAACGCTTTTCACGATACAAATCATTGCAAAGCAACTTTACAGCAAATTAAGTTTCTACAATATTTAGTGGTAGCTTATCAGTGGTGACTGTCAGTCAATGTACATATGGCAGAAATGTATGGAAAAATCAATTAAAGACGTAATCAAACAGACGATGAACACTATTAACAGCAATTATTATATGATGCAATCAAACTTATAGCAAAATGTGGTAGTTCTGTATGTTGTTTCAGGGTTGGCATCATCTGAGGTCCTCTGAGGGGTTATCATCATCTCTTCTCAGGTGTTCAGTCTGGATCCAGACTGAAGCTTGTGTAAATCCTAGTTACGTGGCAAAAACAGAGAAACAAATAGAGACATAATTAGCGTAACTGCTGTTCCAACCAAGCAAAATTGATTTGTTTAACCCAAACTAAAGAATAATAATGTGCATTTGATCAGATATAACTGCAGTACAAGATTATGAGATGCATTATTTGAATGCTTGGCCAAAGAGATGTGTCTTTAATCTAGATTTAAACAGAGAGAGTGTGTCTGAACCCCGAACGTTATCAGGAAGGCTATTCCAGAGTTTGGAAGCCAAATGCGAAAAAGCTCTACCTCCTTTAGTGGACTTTGCTATCCTAGGTACTACCAAAAGTCCAGAGTTTTGCGACCTTAGGGCGCGTGATGGATTGTACCGTGGTGGAAGACTAGTTAGGTACGCAGGAGCTAACCCATTAAAGGCCTTATAGGCAAGTAATAATATTTTGTAACTGATACGGAACTTAATAGGTAGCCAGTGCAGAGACTGTAAAATTGGGGTAATATGATCATATTTTCTTTATTGTTGCAAACAGTGCAAATACTGATAGATGCTATTCACAAACAATGTAAATAGAAGTAACATGCTAGTTGTACTATAATGTTTAAATAGCAATGGTGGGTAGGGTTAGAGAAAGTTTTTTAATAGGCCAACTTTTGTACAGAAGAAACTTTTGTGATCTGACAAGATGAATGCAGCTCTTGAGCAAATCATACATTGATGTCTTTAGGATTCACATCTGTCAAAATCTACCTGCTACCTGCTATCGAGTCATTTATCAAAATAAATTGATCCTCAACAAACCCTATGTAACAGACATCTGCAGGTCATGATTAGGTTCTGATGGTTCATCTACTTTCTTTCAGAGTTTTCAAGATCCGCCAACACATTTTCTCTCTCAATACTTTTGCTTAACAGCTGCCAAAACTTTTATCAACAGCCTCTGAACTGTAGCAGTGTCAGGCAGCACCCAACATCAGTGCACAAGCTAACACATCTTATTTTCTTTAGGCAGATGCAGCACGTTAGATGGTATGATATTTCACCAACCACTCCCTGTTAAATTTAACCAGCAGCTATATGCACTAGTATATTGCTGCAACAGTTTAAATTAAGTCATTCTCGTTTTTTGTATGTATTATTAAATGTGTCAGATTCACAATCATCAGTGCTACTTGGCTGGTGCAATCTATGTTGAACTATTATTGCCTACTTAAAACAAGTGGTAAACTGAATTTTATATAAAAGGGATACTTATGCAGATTTTCTAGTGATAATGGCAGCAGTGATTCATAGAATTATGATAAAATGAAGGAGAACAGCATTATAACTGGGCTTAGATCCAGAAACACAATGCAGTCAAGTGCACTTTGTGCATTTTAAAGAACAAAATCAGGTAACCCATAAAAAACTCTTTCTACATTGCAGAAATATTTTTCTTTCTGTACTTGTACTTGGTTTTTACATTATACTATTTTGGTCTACCCTATAATCAGGATTGGGAAATGTCTAAAATTATCCACTCCTAGATGATCATTTATGTATTAACCATTTGTCGCTTTAGATAAATATGTGATAGACAGACAGACAGACAGACAGACAGACAGACAGATAGATAGATAGATAGATAGATAGATAGATAGATAGATAGATAGGCATTTTCCAGTTCTTCCATCAGCTCTCCACCATCCAGACTCCAGATTTACTTCTAAAATGTTATAATTATTGACTGTTAATTATGATGAGCTATAAACTTTATTTAACGTGAATTACTGTTAGATTATTAGATGTATTCACATGAGATCAAAAAATGTAGACATCATATATCAAAAGTCATTGAAGACCCTCCGACCCTCTTTGAGGTCAGAAAAAAAGAACGTGAGGAAAATAAAATAAAAAGGCCAAGTTTCAGCCAATGGCCCACATTAGCCTAGTGAGCAGAAGATTTGTGTTTCTTTGAATTATGTGCGGACAGTTTTATGGGCAAGAAAGGGAAACAAGTGGCAATGCTGGATGACCCACAGCAGCTCTATGTCTTTACATTTATAGTAAATAAAACAGAACACTTAAATGTGCGTAATGCACCAAAGTGCTTACAGAATAACACAACAGATTTAGCATGGTTTAGATCAGACTATCCCATGGCATTTTCCTTTTCTAAAGTCTCTCGCGACCTCAGTACATTGCCTGAGTTTTATGGTTATGAGTATTAGCTGGATCAATGAGGCAGATTCAGCGCCCCTGATGGCAGGGTCTGAGGATAGGGCCTGTTATTAATGCGTATTTTAAGTAAATTAGACATGCAACAGTGTACTGTTTAATTTTGTTCCTTTGGCCAACCTTTATGGTAATATTTGACTTGATTTATGAATGCAAATTACTGTATATAAAATTACCAAGTCAAGTGCATTGAGTGCTTTTATCTTTTCTGTTTTAATATAGTTAATTGTGTTGATATTAACCTCATAATAGGTGGCGACAGGCCTGAAACAAAAGGTACACACTTTTTTTATTTTATGACTTTATAAGCCTGAAAAAGAACAGGAAGTGCCTTTTTGCCAACCGGCCCACAACTGAATATTATTTTGACACCCCTGTTCAAGAGCTTTCTGTAATCCAATTAGACCTCAACCAGTGGATTTGTTAATGTGTTTGCTGTACTCCTGTTACGTATTGAATTAATCTGATACTATGCCAGGTACATTAAAGCACTGTGTAAATCGTAAAGAGGATTTATGATGATTTATGAACTCTTTGTGACAGCTGTAATGTGAAGAACCTGCAGAGGCGGCATGTGTGTATCTCACGACTGGATCGTCCACAGAACTGGGGGGAAAACTGTGCAGAAGTCCGCTATGTTATCCTCATTCTGGCACCATCAAAGATGGTAATATAATCTATCACTCTCTCTCACACACGCACACACACACACACACACACACACACACACACACAAATTGGGTTTCTATGTCTTATGGGGACATTTCGTAGGCTTAAGGGTTTCTATACTGTACAATCTGTATTTTCTATTCCTTTACCCTAACCCTACTCCTCACACAAACCTTTCTGCTATTTTAGGTTTTCAAAGAAGATAATTCTTTATAATTTATAAGCATGTTTCCTTATGGGGACCAAAAAAACAAAATTATTTTACAACTTTAAAATATTAAATTGAATTATTGTTGGTATGCAATTATACATTTAGTTTCTTAGTAATATTAATTAACAACATGTACTTACAATAAGTTTTGGATTAGGGTTTGGTTTAGGATTAGTCACTTGTAAATATTAACAATATACTGTTATTACTACAGTAAGTACATACGTATAATGTGTAACAACTACAAAACATTTTAAAATAAAGTGTTACCTAATTTTTTAACACTCTTACTGACTTTGATATGATAGCTGTTTCATTGTGCTGTCTAAGGACAGGTTAAAATCGTGAGATTAATTACAGTTTTATTCTGTTGACAGTCCTAGTTTTTAACAGTAAAAAAAAAATCTGAATATATTAGTGGAAACAGTATTTATTTCTGTGTTCATGTCTCAGTTCATAAATAGTTTGTATTTGTGCACATTTTTGTCATTAATTTATAGAAAACTAATTTTCATATAATATTTTAATTTTAATAGAAAAATTATTATTTATTTTTGGAGAGAACATGTTTTATAATATTACACTTTTTTTCCACATAGTTTCAAATGGATATTTACATTAAAATATATAACTGCCTTCATATTTCAGGAAAAGAATAATCATGTTTGGGGGTCCTTGGCATCAAAAAGTAAAAGAAAAAAAACATTCTTCTGAAGGAGTCAAGTGAAGTTACTGGGGTATTTATCTCAGAAAAAAAAAATCTGGAAGAAAAGACTTGAGCGAAAGTGTCAATTTGCTCTCTTTTTAAACAGTTTGCTATTTATGAGAAACAATTGAGATAATAAAATCTAATTCATGGCAGGCTCAGACACTCTAATACTATCATGTTCAAGTTTTAAAATCCTGCGTTTCTTGTTCCCCCTGCAGTATCCCTGTAAAGGCTCTGGGGAACCTTGGCTCCCTCCAAGACCATTTTGTGTATCTCTTTGTGTCTGTGTTTACATCATAAATCTGTGTGTTTGTGTGTATGTGTTTACATCTGTTTACATCTAATCACTCTCTTTCTTTCTCTCTCTCTCTCTTTGTTCTTGCATGCTCTCATCTCTTTCTGTCCTCTGCAATTCACCAGGCAGTACAGCAAACTTTTTTTTTTGCTTCGTAACCTTGTGCTTTTCTCACAAACTCAAATCACATGCGCACACACACACACACACACACACACACACACAAACACGTCTTCTCATTACATTAAAAGCTGGATTGTAATTGCTGGCACATGTGGATACATCCTCTTTTCTTGCCTTGTGTTTTAAAACAATAGACAACACAAAATGTTATCTAACTTAAATACCAAATGGACTCAATCCATAAGATGATAAAGCAAAAATCACAATTCCAGAGAACTGGGCAAAAGTGCATATACTCTCTTCTCTTGTATTGGCAGAGTAAGTGCATTTAACTGAAAATAAGTTGAGAATAACTGCAACTGCTGTATTTTCTGCTCAGCAAATTAAGTGATTTCTTGATTACTACATTGAATATTTCCTTTAATAGCAGTCATAAATGAGTAACGATCGCCAATTATGTTTGATCTCTGTTTTTGACGTTTCTCAGAAAAGCACTAAGACAGCGATGGAGCTGGGCAGGACCTTCGCCAGCATGTTCTCGGACATCTCCTTCAGACAGAAGCTGCTAGAGAGTAAAACCCAAGAGGAGTTCAAAGAGGCACTGCTCATCCAGAGGTACCACCTGACCGCTGCCAAACGTAAAACCACAGCTGTGGAAGGTGAAGAGACAGACCCACACAGTCAAAAACCACTGAAGGTGTGTGTGCATTGCAGCGCGTGCGCCGATGCTTAAGGTTCACAGTTGTAATGGCTTTAATGTGATTGTTTTCCTCTATTCTCTCTTCAGTCCTCGTCCGTCGCTTTCTCTTTCTCCCTTTGCTGTTTGACTTACACTCCAGTGATTAAGTTCTACTGAGCATGTAGCAGCTAATGATGATTTATCTTGTTTGTTACTCCAGTTTGACGCACACACACAAAGTCCGATTCGGCATATGTGAGCATTAGACCACCCTGGCTGAGGTTAGCCGCCTGTAAAAGCCCTCTGTTTTCTTCTCTGTAAAGACAACAGTGGAGGCCCAAATAGTTGTGTTTTTGTTTTTTTGCGTTTTTCACTCCATCACAAATCTGAGGAATGGTAACCAGGTGGAGAGGATCATTACTTTGCGTGTGTGTGTGTGTGTGTGCATGATCACTTGCACACTAAAAGCTATTCATCTCTGGCAAATGACCAGGAAAGGTCTCTCTCTTTTTGAATCAGACACAAGCTGACATGATGAATGAGTGCGGCTCAGTAATGAACACTTAAAGCTGTATGACTTATTTAAAACATATCCTGAGACAGGTTCTCTCTGACTGACAGAAAACATGCCTGTCTGCCAAAACGAGGCTAATGTAGGTCATTAGTGTGAGACGGACAAACTGCTCCACCACCAAATCCTGACCTGTAAAGCCTATTAAAATTTGATTAATTCAACAACTATATTTGTGTCTGGGGGCAAAGACACACACATACACACCAGTGTTTCCTACCTCAGCATAACTGGTCTTAACTACATGCTTTAGACAAAAAAAAAAGAGTATTTTTCTGTTTCTTTTATACTACAAGTTTCAAATTGTTAACATTAGTCAATGGATTAGATATCATGAACTAAAAATGATTGATATTTTACATAATTTATTCCGTTTTATAAACTGATGTATTTTAATCACACATATGAATTACCAATGAACAGTACTAGAATTATATACTGTTCAAAAGTTTGGGGTCAGTAAGTTTTTATTATTATTTTTTTTTTAAAGAAATTTATTATTTTAATGCTTGCATTAAATTGATCAAAAGTGACAGCAAAGACATGTATGATATTACAAAATGTCTATTCATCAGTGAAAATAAGCATTTTATTAAGAAGCACAACTGTTTTCGCCATTCATAATAATAAGAAATGTTTCTTGAACAGCAAATCAGCATATTAGTTTGATTTCTGAAGGATCACATGACACTGAAGACTGGAGTAATGATGCTGAAAGTTCAGCTTTGCCATCACAGGAATATATTATATTTTAAAATATAAAACAATTATTTTACTTTATAATAATATTTCACAATATTACTGTTTCACTCTATTTTTGATTAAATAAATGCAGCTTTGGTGAGCGTAAGAAACTTATTTCAAAAACCTTAAAAATCTTACAGACCCCAAACTTTGGAACAGTAGTATTTATATAATATATAACTTTTAATATTTATGATTGATAAATGCTGTAATTTCTTTTCACTTTGTGGGACTTTAGATTCGTACTGATGCTCAAAACACTAATACACACAAGTTAAAAAAATAAATAAATATAAGATAAAATACATTTTAAAATACAATAAAAATGTAGTTATAAAAATATATATGCACAAACAAATCCACAATTACAAAAGTGTGGGGGCTTTAAGCCAGTATAATTCAATTCTCTGAGATGCACTTGTGTCAGATGTTTTCTGATGCTACATTAATGGGTATTTAAAGTAATGTAACAGGTGTCTTGACTGTGCTTTGCTGATGTAGTTGTAATGCTTTTGCGTTGTACTAATGCTGTTCTAACACTGAGCTGTCTCTCTCTTTAGTCTGCAGAATCTGTGTTCTCTCATCTTGTGTCTCTCTCTCTGCTGTGCAGGGGGCCCTGTGTGAGTGCGATTACACTGAGCTTCTGTGTGTGTACATGTGTGTGTGGATTTAAGTAAGAGAGAGTGTGTGTATGTTTGTCTGCTTTAACACAGTATCTCTTCCCTTGCAGTGTAAAGCGTTGTGTGAGTGTGTATGTGCTTTTGTGTGTGTATTTGCTGTGATTCGGCAGGATTTGGTGTGTATGATTTTTAATTGGTGTGTGTGTGTGCTTTAATCCTGTGCCTCTCCTGCTGCAGTATTGCAGTAAATGTATTTAAATGTTTTCACTTTTATATACAGTATGTAGATGTATGTACATGTATGTGTGAGTAATCCTCTCTCTCCCTCTCTCTCTGTATGTGTGTAGTGTAGAGATTTTTTCAGAGTGGGCAGAGGAATCTATGAGGATCTGTGTCGCCGACTGCCTCTCTACCCGTCTGACTTCACTGATGGTGTGCCATGCATAAACTTACAAATACAAACATTTTTAGCATAAGGATCAAATTTTGCCGATTTTCTGGAAATTAAAGTTTTCTAAGAGGATATACGATCCTCCTGTGGTCTTAATAACGTCCTCAGCTATATTTAAAGATGTGACAGTAGTTCAGATGATTTCATAAGAGCTTGTCCACTAACAAGCAGAATCAGGGACAGACGGAAATGACAAAATGCTGTATTTCTGGGATTTATGTCACATTATATTCCTCACAGAGATATACTGTACAGTACAGACGAGCAGTGTGAGGAAATAATCAGATATGTTCTCCTAAACTTTCCTCTCTCTTTCTCTTATTGCATTAGAAACTCTGATTCATTTTGGTGAATCAGTTCATTTGGATTTAAGCCATTTATAAAAAAACACTAATTAATTAGATTTTTCTGTTTTCTGTAATTCTATTTATATAGAAATTAGGACATTTCTAGTTATAATTGTAATTTCTGTACAATAACATTGAAAAGTTTGGGGTCAGTATTATTTGTTTTTATGGTAATTAATACTTTTATTTAGCAAGGACACATTATAGGAAAGTAAAGACAGTAAAGACATTTATGTTACAATACATATTTCTATTTTTTTTTAAATGCCGTTCTTCAGTTCATCAAATAATCTTTTGAAGGATCTTGTGACACTGAAACCTGGAATAATGACCACAGTGAAGGAAATTACATTTCAAAATTAAAATAGAAAAGTTTTTTAAATGTAATTAATTACATTTTTTAATTGTAATAATGTTTCACAATATTACTGTATTTTTTATCAAATAAATCCAGTCTTGGTGAGCATAAGAGACTTCTTTCAAAAACATTGAAAATCATACCGACTGCAAACTTTTAAACAAAGTGTAAAAATCACTCTGATTGAGTTTGTTTATTGTTATTGTGCTATAGGTGAATATAGCTCAAATGATATTTATTTTATATGTTAACAGCTATAAATACATAATTATATGACGTTACATGCCATTAAACATATTATTCTCACAAGTTCACTTTGCAAGCTGTAATATTTATGCACATTTTACAGAAGTGTGTGTGTGGATGTGTTTCAGGATTAGTGGGTAATAACAAAGCCCTGGTCAAGTTCATGACGACGTCCATCTTCCTCTACATCGCTGTGCTGCTTCCCGCCATTGCTTTTGGCTCACTCAACGATGAGAGCACTCGGGGCGAGATTGGTGATCACTCTCACACACACATACGCTCTTCACACACCACGTTTCCACACACACACACACAAACTGAGCTGCTTTCTCTCTTGATTAGATGTTCAGAAGACGATCATCGGGCAGAGTATAGGTGGAATCATCTACTCGTTGTGTGCTGGCTCTCCTCTCGTCATTCCACTGACCACAGCGCCCATCGCTATTTTCATCAGCGGTATGTACATACATGCCTCCACATGCAACAATAGATGCACGTTCACATGCACACATACCTTGGCTCTCGTTTGAGGTCTGGTTCTGAACCATTCTTTGTTTTTGCGGTATGTTTAGATGAGCACTCATTGTTTGCTGAATACTTTAACGTTGAGTGTTTAGAGAGCTCTGCTAACCACAGGATGAGGTGGAACAAGACTCTTAATCTCACAAACAGCAGGATGGGAGTCTGATATGGCCGCCATTTGTTTGGGCGAAGTTTGATGTTTGCCCTGGCTGAGAGGAGATTTCCTCCTAAAGCTCATTCCTGCAGCTGCAATCGCACACTGTCACCAGCAGGAGGGTTGCCCTGAAAAATGGTTTTGCTGTAGTAAAACGAAATTCTGTTTGGGTACAAATGCACAGATGAGGACAGAACCGCCACATCCATCTATAATAATGATCTTTCCCAATCAAAGAACTTGTCTTGTGGTTTCTCATGAGAATAACAGCAGGAATTCTTTAAATGTTTGGGAGCAGTTCTTTAAACATCAATCGGTGGACATTTACTGTGCGTTATAATCCCCTGTCATTATAAGATTTGAGTTGATTGTGTTTCTGTTCATGTGGAGGAGTCCTAATGACCTCAACATTGTGTTGTCGCATCTGTGTGTTTGTCTGTGTGTGGCTGCAGTGATCAGGGGGGTCTGTGATGATTATGAACTGGACTTTGCAGCATTTTATGCATGTATCGGCCTATGGAACAGCCTCTTCCTCATCATAGGAGGAGTCTTCAACCTTAGCCTGCTTGTTAAGCTTTTCAAGAGGTCAGACACACACATAAACACACACACACACACCTACAAATATACATAATTGTGCAGACGCCACTGCTTGAATACAGATATGTTTTTGTTGTTGATGTTTTTGACTCACAGGTCGATAGAGGAGGTGATAGCTTTGTTCATTTCCATTGCTTTTGTAGCAGACGCAGTTAAGGGCACCGTCAAGAGTGAGTGCTCCATACACACATACTGTATATACACAGCCGAACCCTTTCAAATAATCTGGATTTCTGTGTGAATGATTCTTAGATTACAGTCTGATCTTAACAATAAATATTGGGGAGACTGGGGCTAGTTGTTACATTGTAAAATCAAGACTTTCATTGTTACTGCCCAGGAAAAAATGATACAGCTCATTTAACACATGAAGCTGTTTAGTGATAATGGAAAGATGCTGTCACACTTCTCCAGTCATTTCTTACAAACGACTGCAAGCTTGCATTCAGACCTCCCTTCATCAGATCCAAATCTGATGCATAGAACCATCATTAACTGTTTTCTATTCTCATATATTTTAAATGTAATTTATGCCTGTGATGGTAAAGCTGAATTCCTCCATTCTCCGTCATTACTCCAGTCTTCAGTGTCACATGAGCCTTCAGAAATCATTCTAATATGCTGAGTCGCTGCTCAATAAATATTTTTTAAATAAAATCAAAATCTTTTGTAATATTATAAATGTCTTTACTTACAGTATTGATCAATTTAATTCATACTCACTGAATAAAAGTATTAATTTCTGTCAAAAAAAAACTTAGTGACTTTGACACTAACCTTTCGAACTGTATGTTATACTGGATTTCATTTAATGTATTAAAGCCAATTAATGGCTTTTCAGCAAAATTTAAAACAAAAAAGGTAAGATATGAAAATGTAATGTATGTAATAACATTTAAAAAAAAAAAAAGTGAAATATCTGAGACAAAATGTCCCAATATAAAAGTTACAATTTTACCTGTTCTGATATTTAAAAAAAAATACCTTTTTCTGAAAATTTCAGTCTTTTAGTTAAAATCTACTTTCATGATATAGTCAACCCTTTGGAGGATGTATCTCACAAGCATTATCATAGTTTAAAATATTTAAAACCTTACAGTTAAAATATTTATTTAAAAATATTTTTATGTGACAGCTTATTTAAAAAGGCGCACACAAGCCATTTGGCAGTGCCATGGCTTTATTGAACAAATGTGTTAAACAATCAAGATATCCTCTACTGTAATAACCTCTTGAAAAGAAGGTAATTGGACTCAGCTGTGGGTTTGACCTGCCATGCTGAATGGAAAGCAGCATGTTACTTGTTCCTCACCAACAAATGTGCTCAAGAGCAATCTAGTCTGATCAAAAGGGACTTCAGGAAACCTCAAAAGAAGAACTCATAAAACTCAATGTTTGCAAAGGATTTTTGTAAGATTTATGCCTATAGTCAGGCAGATTAGCACCATCAGTTCAGCACCATTGCTGTGCTTCCTAGAAGATGAAGCCAGTCTGATGTGTGCTGAAACAGCTTCAATAAATAGAAAACGATCACCTCTTGCCTGTCAAATAAAAACAAGCATTTCCTAAAAACTGCTGTGCACAAATACTGTGCCAGTTTCAAGGAGAAACCACTGGATCTCTAAAGAAGTGACACTGAACCAGAGATGTAACTAATAAATAAATATTAGTGCTGGGTAACGATTAATCGTTATGTATATATATATATATATATATATATATACATAATAAATATACATAGTACACACACATATACTATGTAAACAAAATCTTTTATTTTGGATGCGATTAATCGTTGCCCAGCACTAATAAATATATACTGTACAAATAATTAATTACGTAACAATTTAATCAGTAATGCACCACAAATACCACAAAATTAAAGTAACATAATGTGATCACTTTTGAATTATTTTTGAATTGTTTTTTAAATTACCACATATGCAATAAGGCCACATAAGCCAATAGACATAAAGAAAAATAACTTTTACTCAAATGTTTTTGTTCAAACTTACCCGTCTTATCAGAAAAATGGTAATAATGGAAAAAAATAATAATAATTAAAACTTAAATTAAATTAAATGATTAAAAGCGTTGATATAAAATGTATAATTTAAAAAAATTATTGCTTTTTTCAGTAGTGGCCAACATAATGCATTTTGAGAGTGGTGACATTTGCACTTTTGATAGTTGGTTATGAGGTAAGATCAGACGTGAGTTGTTCTGAATCATCGGAAAACAGCTTGATTAAAAAAAACCTGATAATTAACTACAACACTATTAATTTGCTTTTTTTTTTTTTTTAAATATACCTAAAATAAATGAAAAGAACACAAAACTCTCCATACCATTGCCAAAACATCATTGCGGCTGTGAAGGATTGCGGGGCGAGTGTAATGATATGGGGCTGTTTTGCTGCCTCAGGGTCTGGACGGCTTGGAGTCACTGAGGGACCAACGAATTCCTAGTTATATCAGGAGCAGAATGTCAGAGCGTCTGTTTGTGATCAGACTCTCAAAAGAAGTTGGGTCATTCAACATGACAATTATCCAAAACACAGGAGTAAATCAACAACAGAATGCTTCAAACAAAAGAAATTCAGCAGCACTTCACAATGGCCAAATTAGAGTCCTGACCTCACTTCCTTTGAAATGTTCTGCTGTGATGTGAAACAGGCCATTCAAGAAAGACATCCCAAAAATGTGCATGAACTGAAACAATGCACATGTGTTATCAGCAGAAAGCATTGGTTGATGTTATTGGCAGTAAACAAGATTCCACAAAAATTCTGTCAATAATCGTGATCGTTTAAACCAATTATTCAATAAAGATGTGGCGCAGGAAAAATGTTACGCTTTGGAAGCCATTCATGCTGACAACTTCAAAACTTTACACACAGCAAACGTAAAAGATGATTTTAGACTGTACTTTTTATGCAGTCTTACCAGTACAATTGCTCCTTTTTTTTTAGAAAGGTCAAATAAAATAATATAAATTATATAACAAATAATTGTACAATTGTATAACAAATAATGAATAAATAAGGTGTAATTTTTTAGTAGTGCTAATAACATTGATCAAGAGAAAGCATTGGTTGATGTTGTTGGCAATAAACAAGTTTCTACAAAATTCCATCAATAATCATGATTGTTCAAAACCAATTCTTCAAAAAAGATGGCGCAGAAAAATTTTTACACTTTGAAAGTCTGACATTTTCAATACGTCTACACAATACATACAGTAAACATGGATTTTAGACTTAAATATTCTGTATTTTTTTAAAGCAGTCTTGCCAATACAATGGCACCTATTTATTTTTGAAAGAGAAAATAAAATGATAAAAAAATTATAATTAATGTGTAATGTATTTTAAAATTTATTAAAGTATTTTTATTAGTGGTCCTCGCAATGATATTCTCAGTATTATCAGTAATTCTACTTGAGACCAGTGTCATTGTGTTTTTCCATCAATGATTGTTTAATCTAATTATTTAATAAAGATGTGACACAAAAAATATAATGCTTAGAAGGTTGTTCATATTGATCATATTGACATTTACACAATGCATATAGCAAACGCTGATTTTAGACATACCAGGGCTCAATGCTAAGAATTTTTTCTACTGGCCCAGTCAGGCAAGTGGTTCCGATTTTTAAAATTTTACAATTCTCGATTGCAATTTCAATACCGCAGCAAAAACTACTAGCCTAACAAATAGAAAGTTCAAACATTATTAAAAACAAGTGAACAGTCGGTAAATAAGAACAATTGAACAAATTACATGCAACAGCACAAATAAATATCGGACCAGTGACAACTTTGTCAGCTGTCCCGAACATCTTTCATGCTGGCTCTGGGCCATCGGGCAGTCCTTATTGTCGAGCCTGCATACTGTATACTATTTGTTCATTTTGACCTATTCTTACAGTATAAAAATAGTGATGCCCTATGTTGATATCTCTTTTCCAGTCTTTCATGAGTATTACCATGCTCCCACTTTGGCCAATGGGAGTGCGGCGGAGCTGAATCGCATCAGTGGAAGTTTACATATAGGGGAACTGAACCTGACAGAGACAGGGCCCGTGTCCCTCCCAGAATCCTTCATTCTGTGCACACGGGCACGGCCTCTTCTCTTTCTCCTCCTCATGCTGGGCACACTGTGGGTGGGATACACACTGTACCAGTTCAGGAGGAGGTGAGAAGCTCTCCCAGTCTCTCACACACACACACACACACACACACACACACACACACACACACTGATGGGGATTTGAAAGAGTGATAGAAGACTGTTTTGACACCCCCATCTTTCATTTTTCCTGGCAGTCCGTTTCTGCATGTGAAGATGAGAGAGATTCTGTCCGACTGTGCTCTGCCTATCTCCGTGCTTGTCTTCTCTTATGTGGGATCATACGTCTTCAACGACATTGCCTGTGAGTCACTATATGTGTTCATGTTGCACACACACTGGAACTAATGTATACATATGCAAACATTACAGCTCTTCAAAACAGTTCTCCATTTGATGATTGGTCATTTATATCCACAACATTTGACAAGTGCAATATGACTAAAAATCATAAAATCTTTTTTTTTTTTACATTCTTACATTTTCCATAATATATTCAATATTTTCTGGCATGAGTTATTATTTTGTATTTGAAATAACATTTTATTATTATTTTTATTATTAATTATATTTTCATATATAATTATATGTAATTTATAATTTTATAATTATTAATTATATATAATTTTTTTATATTCTCATTTAACTTTTTTTTGTGTTTTTGTTGGTATTATTTGACAAAACATGTTTCTTTATATTATTTTAATATGTATTGTATCATTATTTATATTATTTCTCATTTAATATTTGTGATTAGTGTTTTGTTGGTATTGTTATTGTTTTGACAAAATATTATTTTTATATAATTTATATTAGATTACATTTACATATATATATATATATACATATATATATATATATATATATACACACATTTATATATTCATTATATTATTTCTCTTTTTATCAATATTAAATTATTAATGTTTTTTGCTATTGTTATTTTATATTTGACATGAAAAATTATTCTTTATCATTTACATTCGATTAGTTTTGTATTCATTATATTATTTCACTTCATATTAGTCATTCAGTAGTAATGTTTTTTTGTTTTGATAATAATAGTATTTAAATCAAGGTGAAGAAAGTGAGCTCATTTATGGTATAATTTAAGCAGAGAAAAATCGAAACACTCATAATGATAAAACTGCTTTATGTAAATTTTTTACATCATATTGGGGGCATATCTTCATGTCAAAATTAAGCATTTAAGCAGCAATTTTAAAATGACATGCAAATAGCAGAGAAGATTCTGTACTAAGAATCAGTTTGGCTCAATTTGGGTCCAGGAAGGCTTGCCAAAATGTACGCCCCTACCAACACACACACACACACACACTGCCTGTACTCTCCCTCTCTTACTGCCAGCACATTACAGCAAAGCCAGTCACTCCGACTATCACTACATTATTCCTCCAACTCCTCTGTCATCAGTTCGGTGTGGGAGTTTAACTTGGTTATCAGAGTGAGATTTTACTTCTTACCTCAGGCTCTTTAAATGTTCACTCAGCGCTCCAATACTGCAGTCAAAAGGCTCATATTTTAAATTAGATCAAATCACAACCTCTAAGGAAAAGGCCAAACAGCAAATGGCAGGAAATGGCCAAAGTGTTGCAGTATAGTGTTGTATTATATATATATTCCCCAAATGTATTTGTATTTTATTTCATATCCTGCCCAATGTTTTTTTTCCAAGTAATGTGTTCCAAGTAATGCTATCATGCTTTGGACAACTTGGGTTGTGCCCTTTTTTGCGGGTTTTTTTTCTGTGGCCATTTTTCAAACTTTTTTTTTCCCCCAATAGAAATCCCCTTTCAGTATTGTAAAGTGACATGATGGAGATTGCACAGTGCAGAACTGATCCATGATGAAAATCATTGATGACTGTTTTCATTAATGATTGCTGTAGATTTAATCCCACTATCCTGGAGGGTCTGGTTTGGGTCAGAGGGTCTGTAATGGTTTGTGAACTGAGGTTCACACTCTTTTTTGTTCTCTTCTAGTACCAGTGTTTAACTTCCATGAAGGTCCGGTGTTTCAAATAGCCCCGCTGGATAAGCTGACCGGAGCGAGTGTCCTGAGTGCAATGGGTCTGGGCTTCCTCCTGTTTCTCCTCATCTTCATCGACCAGAACATTGTAGTTTCTCTCACAAATGCACCTGAAAACAGGTACATGTCTTTTGAAACAAGTTTCAGCTAGACTTTTGTTTTGAAAACATCTCGCCACTCATACAAGTGGCTTCATCACAGAAAGCTGCAGATTATTAAAATGAACTTAACCTAAAGATTAACCCAACCAGGCACAATGTGATAAAGTGATAAGCAGCCTATTTCATGTTGAGGAGTGTTTGCAGTGACGGCGATTTATTGCGTCCTACACTTTATTTTCAAAGCAACAAATGAGCAACACAACCTAGTTCATCTTTATGTAAATTATCATCACCATAATGAAGGCTAAGCAAGTTAGCAAAAAAAAAAAAACTTCAAATGGAAGGGGAGTGTTTAATTTGACCCTCTAACTTCGATTGTATAATGTGATATGTCATTTAAAATAATATTAATTAACATATTTTCATGATTAAATGTGTAAGCATTTTTTTTTTCTAATAAGGCACTGAACAGAGTACACATAATTGTCTTAGCTAGAGGAATCACTTTGGGTCCAAGATGCACACACTAATGTACTGTTTTTACACAAATATTGTGAAATATTATTGCAATTTAAAATAACGGTTTTCTTTTTTTAATACATTTTAAAAATCTAATTTATTCATCTCAGTCTTCAGTGTCACATGAAATGTATAAATCATTCTAATGTGCTGATTTGGTGCTCAGAAAAAAAGAAAAAGAAAACTGACATTATAAATGTCTTTACTGTCACTTTTGATCAGTTGCATCCTTGCCAAATAGGAGAATTAATTAAAAAAAACAGAAACAATACTGACCACAAACTTTTGAACAGTAGTTCAGGTTATTGCATGACAACGATCAGCCCAATTCACAGTGAAATCTTATTGGTCCTGCTCCACCTAGCTGCATATTAAACATCAAATATATTATGATTGGCTTTCAGCATGGACATAAAAATGACACATTGTTGGAAACTGGTCGCTTCGCACCTCAATAGGACACTGGGTCAGATTGTGCAGTGGTCTTAGAGTAGGGTACCGCTGTTGAACTCTGTTGAGGCGTGACTGTGTGTGTGTGCTACAGGTTACTGAAGGGCACGGCGTATCACTGGGACCTGACTCTGTCTGGCTTGATTAATATTTTGATGTCTGTGCTGGGCTTGCCGTGGATGCATGCTGCATTCCCGCACTCCACTCTGCACGTCAGACAGCTAGCCATCGTGGAGGAAAGGGTGGAGGGAGGACACCTCTACGAGACGTGAGCGCACACCACAGACAATTACACTCACAATCAATCTGTGAAGCACAAACGTCATTATAGTAGCTATTGGCACACTGTGCTTGGTTTTAAATGACTCCTCTGTGTGTGTGTACGTGTGTGTAGTATAGTGAGTGTGAAGGAGACGCGGGTGACCTCGCTCGTGGCTAACATCCTGATTGGTGTGAGCTTGTTTCTGCTGCCGGTGCCCCTGCAGTGGATTCCTAAGCCTGTGCTCTATGGGCTCTTCCTCCACATCGCTCTCACATCCATTGACGGCAATCAAATGTGCGACCGCATGGCTCTGCTACTCAAAGAACAAGTGAGTGTGCGCATGTGTGTCTTTGATGAAAACAAAGGCAAATAAAAGTCATAGGTGTTGTACAAATAAGAACACAGAAGAGAGATCGGTGCACTCTTTGTGCAAATAAAGCAACAGATCGCCCTCTACCTGTCATAAATGGAAATGTCTAAGTATCCAGTGATGCATTTTGTGGCTGGACGCTTTGTGCATTTTTACCCAAGCGTAAATGCCCTCCACGATGCATTTGTGATGGATCAGGAGGTGGTGTGAGATACATACATCTGTGTAAATGCTGCAGATTGGCAAAATGTTTCATAATTAACTAGGCAGTGGGCTGTTAATTACACAAAACTATAAAAGTCTATAAAAAAATCTCAAGCACATCCCAGTTGTTGGCTAAAACTATTTTTTATTAACTATTAACCTATTAAACCTATTTTTATTAAGAATTAAGTTAATATAAGTTTAAGTATAACAAAATATTAAATATAATTTAATATATTATAATACATTTTATGCTCAATAAGGCTGCATTTATTAAACAGTAATATTCTGAAATATTATTGCAATTTAAAATAACAGTTTTGTATTTTAAAATGTAATTTATTCCTTTGATGGCAAAGCATCATTACTCCAGTCTTCAGTGTCACACGATCTTTCAGAAATCATTCTAATAAGCTGATTTGCTGCTCAAGAAATTTCTTATAATTATCAAGGTTGAAAATAGTTGTGCTGATTCCCGCCCTCCACTCTGCACGTCAGACAGCTAGCCATCGTGGAGGAAAGGGTGGAGGGAGGACACCTCTACGAGACGTGAGCGCACACCACAGACAATTACACTCACAATCAATCTGTGAAGCACAAACGTCATTATAGTAGCTATTGGCACACTGTGCTTGGTTTTAAATGACTCCTCTGTGTGTGTGTACGTGTGTGTAGTATAGTGAGTGTGAAGGAGACGCGGGTGACCTCGCTCGTGGCTAACATCCTGATTGGTGTGAGCTTGTTTCTGCTGCCGGTGCCCCTGCAGTGGATTCCTAAGCCTGTGCTCTATGGGCTCTTCCTCTACATCGCTCTCACCTCCATTGACGGCAATCAAATGTGCGACCGCATGGCTCTGCTACTCAAAGAACAAGTGAGTGTGCGCATGTGTGTCTTTGATGAAAACAAAGGCAAATAAAAGTCATAGGTGTTGTACAAATAAGAACACAGAAGAGAGATCGGTGCACTCTTTGTGCAAATAAAGCAACAGATCGCCCTCTACCTGTCATAAATGGAAATGTCTAAGTATCCAGTGATGCATTTTGTGGCTGGACGCTTTGTGCATTTTTACCCAAGCGTAAATGCCCTCCACGATGCATTTGTGATGGATCAGGAGGTGGTGTGAGATACATACATCTGTGTAAATGCTGCAGATTGGCAAAATGTTTCATAATTAACTAGGCAGTGGGCTGTTAATTACACAAAACTATAAAAGTCTATAAAAAAATCTCAAGCACATCCCAGTTGTTGGCTAAAACTATTTTTTATTAACTATTAACCTATTAAACCTATTTTTATTAAGAATTAAGTTAATATAAGTTTAAGTATAACAAAATATTAAATATAATTTAATATATTATAATACATTTTATGCTCAATAAGGCTGCATTTATTAAACAGTAATATTCTGAAATATTATTGCAATTTAAAATAACAGTTTTGTATTTTAAAATGTAATTTATTCCTTTGATGGCAAAGCATCATTACTCCAGTCTTCAGTGTCACACGATCTTTCAGAAATCATTCTAATAAGCTGATTTGCTGCTCAAGAAATTTCTTATAATTATCAAGGTTGAAAATAGTTGTGCTGATTAATATTTTTTGTGGAAACATACATAAAAAAAATTTCCCCAGGATTATTTGATGTATAGAAAGTTCAAAAGAATAGCATTTATTTGAAATAGAAATCTTTTGTAACATTATAAATGTCTTTATAAAAGTATTAATTTCTTAGAAAAAAAAATGTTGCTGACCACAAACCTTTGAACAGTATTGTATTTTAACTTTTTAAAAGCATAACTCTTATATACTACATATTATATACTATATATTAAGAGTTGAAAAATCAGCCCAGTATAATCATGGACATGATTGTCATTCATTGCATATTGCCTGGCAATAGATCAGAATTATATCCGTATTGTGTATGCGGCCAGGTGTATGTGAAATGTCCATATTTAACCGATCTTAGTCCCATCAGTCAAGATGTTGAGGGGTATAATCTGCATTATGATAGCTGTACCCAATCCTATTTTTCTTTTCTTTATCTCTCTTCCACTCTTTCTCAGACGTCCTACCCTCCCACTCACTACATCCGCAAGGTGCCGCAGAGGAAGATCCATTACTTCACTTTCCTTCAGATGGTGCAGCTGCTTTTTCTGTGTGCGTTTGGGATGTACCCTCTCCCGTATATGAAAATGATCTTTCCTCTGCTAATGTTTATCCTCATACCCATCAGGTGAGAATTCAAATGCCTTTAGCTCCCGTCGGTTTGTGTAGTGTGTGTTTTGCTGTGCACATGCATGTCTAATAAATGGTGTTTTCTAAAGGTCATACTACAGAATGATGAATGATGCTTTACATTATGTGGTTTGTTCATGATAGAGGAAAGAAAAAAATCTTTTGAAGTTCTCAGAAATGACTCTTTGTAGTCATGTGCTTTTCATATGTTTTGAAAATGTCATGTGGTGTGACATCAAGTATTTTCCTTACACTGTGAATACTTGTGAGTGTACACATTTTGATAATTATTTTCAGACAAAATGATAAAGTATTAATTTAATAAAACAAATAGAACCAGTACTTTATTTTCAAGGTCAAAGTATTTTTAAATACAAATATTGTGAATTATTACTATATTTTTGGTCAGTCACAGAACATAATGCTTTACAACTTAAACTAACCTTGTCTTGGCGTAAAAAGGTCAAATCATCTGATATTTTAAGAGACTTGCTGACCTAGACACACAGCCATGTCCTGTTTAATGTCACTTTTTTTTTCTCTGCACGTTTGTTGCTCCACATGATTTTGTTTGTTGCAGCACATGATTTGGAAGCAAAAAAAAAATTTATTTATTAGTAAAGTTTTGAAGCACTTTTGTTAAAATATTTTTAATAATAAAATGAGAAACAAATGTTTTAAAAATGTATTAATAATTTTTTATGAATCAATAAGGTTGTCTATTCAGTAATTCTATAAATAATTTTATTTCTTAATGAAAAATATATTAATTTAATTAATTATTATAATAACTGAATAAAAATCCATTTATCAATACAAATATTTTTAAAAAGGTAAATATATATTTTCTTAATTATCTGTTTGTATGTAATTAACATAGTTGTAATTGTGTCTCCGTCTCAGGAACTGTCTATTGCCCAGGATCATTGAGGCTAAGTACCTGGACATTATGGATGCACAGCGCATGTAAAAGCATGCACACTGAGCCTCTGAGCAAAGGATTCTGGGAATTGTATTTCTGATGCCTGTTCAAAACAGAGTATTAAGACAGACCGCTGTCTGACTGTTTGACTATTGACCTTGGTCAGTCACTGCTTCTCTCATGATCTGAATAGTACACCAAAGCCCCCTCTCCTCCCCCTCTCTAGTCTATTCTGATGTATCCATGCATCACAAACACTTGATTTATGAGACGTAGGAAACCATCACACGTATTCTCAACAACTGTGCCACGACTAAATTACACAAGTGTTTACTCCATCTCCGACCAGTGTTCTCGACACAAATACAGCTGTTTTTTGAACAAGAGACTGAACTGAATCTGTAGCAATACCTCTTATTTGTTGATGCGTGCGTGCGCACACACACACACCCAGTGCAAAAACCTCTCGTACAACAAGTAAAAAAGCTGTCAATGGCAGATTTTCCAGTGCATTTTGGTACATATCAGTGCAAATAAGTAATAATGAAGTGAGCATGGACCAAAAGAATACACTCACGTCTCATAGCAATACAGCGGATTATTAGAGGCTATCAATATTTTAGAGTTTTCTAAAGAGAGTTTTCCTTCAAGGTAATGGACTTCTAGTTTGGATACCCACTGATGTGTAGAGAATGTATCCTAAGCGCTGGGGTTTCAGGGAAATGGACAAAATCAAGCAGCATTTCTGCAGACATTACTCACTGCTGAATTAAGCTTTGCACATCACAAGACACCACATCTGTGTACCTTCCCCAGTCACACACACACACACACACACACACACAGAAGCATGATTATAAACAATACCCAAAAGAAAGGCACTTAAACGCACACTTTGTCCATCTCACAATATATTTAAAACAGAGAAGGCATGCCTTTTTTAAGACATTGAAACTTTTGATTTGTATTACTATTATGTAATTTGTTGTGTTATTATTAAAGCTGCAGTCCGTAACTTTTTTTGGTTAAAAATGATCCGAAATCAACATTTGAGCAAGTACATAACCAGCCAGTGCTCAAAACTATCGCCTTACTTTAGCCCGATTCACATCGATTATCTTATAATAATGTTTTCTAATTTGAGTGGTATGGGTAGGAAATCGGAAGACGCGGATATCTCTGATGATTTTAACCCATCAAACCATGTTACGTTCCTAGAGAGAGTGGCATTATAAATGAAGGTGCACAAATTGAGAAAGACATGGTTTGACTAACTGTGGGCAAAAAAGCAAGCACCTGTGCACTTAATCATAGGCAATATGAGATTAGAGAAAGCTGAGAAGCAGACTCGACTGATTCTTGTCATGGAGAGCTTTAAGCTTCGGAGAGAGAGAGAGATTAGATGTACTGTTGAAAAAGTTGGTTTTCTCTTGAACATCTCGCACCACTCGCGTAATCAGCATTCCTGTTTGGCTGTTTCTCTCTCTATCTTCCCTTGAGTCCAGACCTCTGGTGTAAAAACAACCTCCCTTCAGTAATCCTGTTTGTCATTGGACATCTCTCAGTATTTACTGTAATATTGAAGTATTCAGCTTTAATTTGTGATCGCTCACACCTGGGTGGGATATGTTGACGAGTTCTGTTCTGTGCTGTTTAAATATTGTTTTTTTGTTTTTTTCAAATCATGAATGTATACTGTGTAGATTTTTATATAGCGCATAAAAAGATCCATTGTTGAATTGATTTTGTCAAACAGATAAGCTAAATTTGTAAACTGCAATATGTAAAAACTATGGTAAATAAGAGACATGTTTATTGGAAGGATTGTGTGGGTTTAATAGGGGTATGCTATACACTGAAATCTAGATCATTTCAAGCTGATTGCCAAATAAAGAGATATATTGATACCCATCTGTTTCAGCTCTCCTCTGTTTTCTATTTATGTTGGCTACAGTTGATATTCATTGCTAATCACTACAATTTCTTTCTTTCTTTATTTCTTCCTGCCTTCTGCTGGTCATGTTAAGTAAAGTTAATAACAGCATTAGAGATTCTATGGGTGGGAATGACTCATTTCCACGAATCGGTTCATTTAAAAAGTTAATTTAAAAAAACTTATTCTAAGATTCTAAGATAGATAGATAGATAGATAGAAAAAATAGTAGTAGTAGTTCCAACCAAGTCATAATACACGCAAGTCATAATGCACACCAGCAGTAGCTAATTACAGACCGATCTAGAATCTCTCTTTTCTGTCCAAGATACTAGAAAAGGTAGTATCCTCACAATTATATTCCTTCTTAGAGAAAATTGGTATTGGCATCTACGCTAATATTAGTCTGTTTCTCTCTTATTCCGAGGTCACCGTAGCCACCAGATCCAGTCTGTATCCAGATCAGATGGTCACTGCAGTCACCCGGATCCAGTACGTATCCAGACCAGATGGTGGATCAGCACCTAGAGATGACCTCGACAGCCCTGAATGTCAGCGGAAATAAGGACAACTAAATGAGCCCCAGAGGAACTAGATGAGTCCTCCCAGCCTCCCCCCCCACAAGTCATTCTGAAATAAATAAATGTTAGGTCCTATCTCTCGGTTGGATGTTGTTAATAAAATGTTATTCATTAAAACCAAATTTCGTATGTGTGTTAAAAATAAAATAATAATAATAGAATACTTTTTATTCCTTCAAAATCCAAGCAGTCCGCTTCACTTTTTGGACCACAAATGTTGAAAAGCTATGGATGAGTAATAAACCTAGTTTAAATACATTTGTATCCTCATTGCTTCAGAAAGTTTGATTTTACCATCACTAGTCGAAACATTATCTGTAATTTATTATATTTATGCTATCCAGTTTTTAAGGTTACCTTAAAAATAACTTTCGTCTGATAGGACGAAAAGATCCGACTTAAACGGTTTGTGCAACCGATTTGAAAAGATCCGACTCAAGTCAAGCAGAAAAGGAATCCCTACTGTACTTTGCTCTGACATTGGGTCCAACAGCACGACCCTGTTACGAAAACACCTGAACTGACAGCTGTTATTTTGAGCGTCCTTTAATATCTCGCTTACTGTCCGTTCAGTTGAGCTGACTCTGCTAGTGCACGTATGCTAGTGTGGCACGCATTCCGTTGTGTTGGTCGTGGAGCTGATGGACAGTCTCTAAAAAGAATATAGCCTACTGTGCACTTATAGATTATGGGAGTATGATTTATGGAACCGCTTCAGCATCTCTGTTAGATAAGGTGAATAAAATACAAAATCAGACATTGAGATTATGCTGTGGAGCATTTAAAACTTCTCCTGTAGACCTATCAGCTTTACAGGTTGAAATGAATGAGATGCCACTGGAGCTTCGCAGGTTGAAGCTGAAACTGGTGTATTGGGCTACTGTAAAAGGGCATTCAGAAATAAAGAGTATTAGAAAACTGCTGGGAACATGAATATGTAAATCTGACTAATGCCTCACCTGAACGACGCTCCTTTTTACAGGTGCCGGTCTAATGCTTTTATCAGAAGTTTGCTTTGTTTTACATTCTGAAGTACGATTCGTTATACTAAGACTTTTGCACCCATACAAGTCAGGGAATGAGCACCCCCTGCTTGCCGGACTAAAACTAGCTCCAGCACCAAGCTAGTTTTTCCACAACGGCCTACCAGCCATCAGAATGTGCTACCAGCTTCAAAAAGAAAACAAAGTCAAATTCGTAACTGAGGTGGGGAATTCATGACAACAGAATGTCAGGAGGCCAGTTTAATACCTCATCTGCAGGATGATGCTTTTCACAGTCTAAAGTCCACGTCATTACACTAGGACTTTTGCACCCATTCAAGCCAGGGAATAATCACCCCCTGCTTGCTGGACTAAAACTAGCTGCAGCACCAAAAAACATTTTCACAAATGGTCTCCCACCAGTGTTCTGACCAGGCTCTGGCCTGCTTAGCTTTAATGAGAAACCAGACTCTGCCTACTGCATGCCACAGCTGCATACGTAGCCTTCGCCTTAATAAAGCTGCTCTAATAGAGGGGTAGCACATCCTGACAAGCTCATTGCGGCCATCAGGAAACGCTACCAGCTTAAACAAGGAGGTCAAATTCATGATTAAGGTGGGGAATTCATGACAACAGAATGTCGGGAGGCCAGTTTAATGCCTCATCTGCAGGATGCTCCTTTTCACACTCTAAGGTCCGCGTCATTACACTAGGACTTTAGCACCCGTTCAAGCCAGGGAATGATCACCCCTTGCTTGCTGGCTAGTTAAAGATGTCAAAAGGATAATCAATAAAAAAAACGGAAATAAAATAGAAACGTTGTCAGTCATGATTGAATTTGAGGATAAGATGCCAAACAAAGTTTTGCTAGTTTTTTTCTGTTATCAAGTGAGAGAATATATTCCTCCAGTTCTAAGATGTTTCAAATGCCAACGTCTGGGTCACATAGCCAGCCAATGTAAGGGTAAAGAAAGATGTGCTAGATGTGGAGGTGAGCACGAATATGGGAAATGTGGGAAAGATGTCCCTGTGAAATGTTGTAACTGTGGTGAACAACATAGTGCAGCTTATAAAGGATGCATGAAGCAAATACAGGCTAAAGAAGCTCAGAAACTCAAAATTCTGAATAATGTCTCTTATGCAGAAGCTCTAAAGAAAGTTTCAGACGTAACCAAGCCTAGACAAAGTTATGGTAATAAACTTGCAGAAAAAGAAAAGACAGGAGCTCAAAATTTTATGAGAGAATCCTTTCATCAATGCAAAATTAAACAGAGACTCTGTTAGTGGACAGAACAAAATTTGTGGCATTCATATGTAAAGTAGTGTATATTGGAATTGAGCAGAATGATAGCGAGGAAAGAATCGACACAGTAATTGAAGCAAGCAAAGAACCTAGGAATTTCTAGTTCAGAAACCAAGCTGATGAATCCACTAAACTATGAATCTAGTAGTGGATAAAAGTGGAGCTGACTATTTTACATTGGAACTCAAGAAGTTTAATTGCAAATGGACAGGAATTTTAAAAGTTTTTTGGTGATTTAGAAGAAAATCTGATGTTATTTGTATACAAGAGACTTGGTTAAGATCACAGCTAAACTTCGTTAGCAGGGTATAACTCAGTAAGACAAGACAGAGATATTAAAAAAGGAGGGGGATGTGCTACTTTTATTAAGGAAGGAATAGCTTTTAAAAGAATACTTTCTCTAGATAAGTTTGAATGTACAGTCATAGAAATATATAATCAACAGAACTCAACTTTTATAATTAACTTTTATAATCCATGTAAAGAAATTGTGGCTACAGATTTTAATGACATTGTGCAAAGAGTTGAGAATAGAGAAATTTGGAGTAGTGAGTATACGGATAGCAATGGAACCGTGATAGAAGAATTAATGGACTCACGAAGATTGGTGTGTCTCAATGATGGAAAGGGTAAAAGAATTGATTTGGTAAGAAATAAAATGTCTAACATTGATCTCACACTGGTTTCTTCTCATCTTGCCAGTATAAGTGAATGGAAAGTAAGTAAAGAAAATCTGGGCAGTGCTCATTTTCCAATTTTTTGTAAAGTAAATGTTGATGTATATAGACAACCAAATAATTATATTTACAGATGGTGTTTTGCCAAACAAATTGGGAAGATTTTAAAGAACAGTGTAAGAGAGCTCAATATATACAAATGAATGGTAATGTAGATATTTGTGTAAATAAAGTCAGCTCAATGATCATAAATGCTGCAGAAAAATACATTCCTAAGAAGGTTATAAATCAAAACAGGAAAATAGGTCCATGGTGGAATGATGAATGTTCTATAGCAATTAAAGAAAGGAATCATGCTCAGGAAAATTTCAGGAAAAACATGAATATGGATAAATT